TCAAGATATTATTGTGGCTGGATGTATGCGCTTATGGCAAGCTTTCATATGAAATATCTTTTGTTCGGATACATTTAGTTACTTTAAATTTATAGAAGAGACATCAGTTTCGGTACATTCCGGCGGCAATGATTTTAAAAACAAATTATTTGTATACAGCGACTTCTTACTGCGGGAAATGCATTGGGATGCGGCATAGACGTATCGTTTATCGAATAAGAATTATTATTATTATTATTATTATTATTATTACATAATTACTGCTCTCCCTGAGCACTCGAATTATCCTTATAATCGCCACATTCCTACAGATATCCTAGATATTGCAGTATGCAAACATTTTACGAAACAGTTATTCGAATCTGCTCTAACAGGATCAAACTCGGACCACTGCCCGGCGATTCTCACCTGTGATGCTAATTTCATATTATCTAATCAACCCAACCCACATATCTATAAGAATACCAATTGGAAACTATTAGAAGAGTTTCTCACCACATCTATCCCTTTGCTACCTTTCTTAGAAACCCCAGATTATATTGACTCAGCTATTTCCTTCTTCGGAAATACCATCGGCACTGCAATAAATGCGGCTACTCCCAAGTACAAGTACCACAGACACTCCCCACCCTTCCACCCACACCCTGAATATTATTAGACAAAAGCGAAATATAAGGCGTCAGTGGAAAACACCCCGGTTACCTCATTTAAAATTCGCTTTAAACCAGACAACTCGTAGGGTTCACGAAGAGTTAAGTAAGTTTCGCAACCCAAACTTCCAAATCTACTTCTGAATGTTGATAAAAACTGCAATACTTTGTGGAAACTTTGACGTCATTTCTCCCATCCCAATCAAGCAATTCCCACATTATCCGCCAATTATCAGTTTGCATATACAGAAGCAGACAAAGTAGAAATGCTTGCCAACCATTTCAAAGATGCTTTTTATCCCAATATTTCTACAGATCTGAATTTCCAAACTTGTAGGAAGTTTTTAAAATCACATTACCATGCTGCACCATTTCCAGTTATATCTCTTTCTCCAATGCCATACAAATAATTAAGAATACAAAAAAATTTCTCTAGATATAGACGGTATCCCCAACATCGTTCTAAATCATTTACCTCCTCATGCCATTGCTTACTTAACTGCTATCTTCAATGGCTGCCTCAGGTTAGGCTACTTTCCGATAAGCTGAAAAAAATCTATCGTAATTCCAACATTAAACCTAAAAAAATCTCCGAACCATCCCTCTAGTTACAGACCCATAACCTTTTTACCCACCTTGTCTAAAATATCCGAAAAACTGATTCTAATCACGCTTAATATTTTTTTTCTAAATACGAAAGCCATCCCTCCTTTTCAATTCAGATTCCACCTTGTTTATTCGACCACTCACCAGCATCGCAGAACAGAAGAAACCATAGGACAAGCGTTTCAAAATAAGTAATATTGCTCTGCAGGCTTTTCAGACTTTGCTAGTGCCTTTGACAAAGTCTGGCAACCAGGTCTGCTCTACAAATTGAAGAAATACTGCACCCCCGATTATCTTGTCCAAATAATCAGCAGTTTACTCGAAAATAGAAGCTTTTTGGTTCGAATAAATTCCTCTCTCTCCACCTCTTAGATAATTCAGGTGGGGGTACCCCATTATTCGTCTCTCTCCCCGACTCTCTTCAATTTGTTTACAGCTGATATACCAAGTAACATAACCTGTTCCACGGCTTTATCGTAGACGACACCACGATATTCTCTGCAAACCATGATCTATCAGTAGCAATCAACAACTTACAGTCAGCCATCAACACTTCCTCTGACTGGGCAGCAAAATGGAACCTATACTTAAACGCAGCAAAATGTGAAGCAAAACATTTCGTACTTAGAAGAATAACCCACCCTCCATCTATCATAATAAGAAATGCACCAGTTCCTTGACTTCCATCCAACAAAGACGTAAATTGCCTAGGAGCAATTCTAAACACTCGTCATACGTGGAAACACCACATTTATCCATCAACTGAACAAAACTAATGCTGCACTCTTCCACCTATATCCACTAATAAACCCTAAATCGTCGCTCCAAACTGACATAACACTGTATATTTATAAAACTGCATTGCAGCACAAACAAACCTAAAAGGAATCCAAGTATTTCAAAATATAATCCTCCGAACGGCCGTTAACTCTCCATGGTATATATCCAATAAACAGCTCCACAGAGAATTGTATATGAATACCATAGCCCAGCACATTTCGACATTAACAAAAAAATCACCAACTCAAACCTGGTTCCCGGGGTCAGACTCTCCAACCTGGGGAAATCCTGTTATTGTCCTACTAGAATCAAATTACGCCTTTTCAAAGATTAATTCAGACCTCCATAACAATCATATACGCGTGAACCCAAACTCTCTTCCCCATTTCCACTCCCATCACACCACTGCCCTGAACATAAAATTCACATAAATGATGTTCCTAGAGGGAATTCTTTCTCACATATAAAATTGGGTTGAGTTTGTTTAATTAAAAGTATCTCAGAAATTTTGAGTTAATATTGTATAGATTGTTTTAATCTCGTAACCTATTTCAAACCTGTAAAGTAGTTTACCCACTGATCGAGTGCAATACATTAAAAAATTAAGGTACTATTTCTACATTTATTGTTTTTTTCATGAATTACAAATTATTGAAAGCTCAAAAGCATTTAAAGTATAATTAGCATTGTCATAAATAATAATTTCTCTAATCTTGTTGTCTTAGTTGACAAAATCAGTTAGAAGAATTGTGATTTTATTTAAAGGTATTCATTGCTCATGGAGATGTTTTTTAAGTAATTGGAAAACATAAATTTTAATATGACGTCAAATTTAGGGGACTTTCCGAAATCTGAACGACATGATTCCAAAGAGAACGAATATGCGAATATCGCAATGTTAAAAGTCATGAAATACGTCAATAGATAGAGTGAATAAATTATATTTTGCAATAGAAATCTACAAAAATATTTTTACAAAGAAGAAAATGAAGTCTGTCTGATATTTCGCGCAACTGTTCTTGCAATAGTAAAAAGAGGTACGGAATGTAAAAAAACCGCTTTATAATTCAAAATCGATGAAGAAAGCAACGCTGGATGTCGTCCATTTCAGAATACAATTGATCATAGGTATTCTAAAAAAGGCAAAATGGTTTTCTCTAAGTTGGAAGATAAAAGAGGCGAGGACTTTCTGGGAAAAGACCAGCGAGACTGAGGCGAGATGTGTCCGACTTATTAATGTTCAAATATCGAAATTGCTTTTATGATGTTCAAGTCAAAATTGTTGAGATTTTTCTCCTGATATTTGTGTAGTGCTTACTTTTCAAATATTTTAAAAACGTTGCTGATTACAAACACAGGTGGATGTAGATTAAAAATAATGTACTTTTGCTTATTATAGGCTGAAATCAAAATGGGAGTTCACAGTACCAAATCTTCCATAATATGTGTTCAAAACATTTCCTACTAGAAATTCTCATGGTATAGCCAACCATTGAATATCCAATTCTTCATATCCTACACATATGTCATCCTGTATAAAAATTCTGCAAATAAATTATTTATGTAAAAGCAAATGTATCATGGCGTATTAATACAGTAGTGAACGACCATGAAGACGCCTGGCTGGTAGACTTCAAATCGAGCACTAGTGTGAAGCGGGTTGCATCAACGATTGCAGTATTTCTTTAGAATGCTAAATTCGGGCGTGCACTATTGCGTTCAAGTGTTAGTTCCTTCGATTTCTATTCGTTTAGTAGAATACGCGAGGATATTACTCTAATTGGTGTCTAAATATACCGACTAAAAAGCTCATTTGTTTAACGCATCACATCTTTGATTCTTAGAACTACATGCTTAGAAGACAAGTTTCTTGTGTGGGCTTTGTGTTTGGAAATGTGTTCGAAATACTCAAGTTTTATTTGAAAATACGATAATCTACATACTATTCTTCGATATCACGTAATGCAAATAATTGTATTTAAGCCTCCTTCATAGAATAATGCAGACCATGTCTAACTCGCTAAAACCGCGTTGGTTTTATGTAAAGTAGCGGAAGAAGCTATCGCGAACGATCGTACTGCGTCGAGGCTTATTTTTAAGGAGAATCAACCTGGCACATTGTTTGGTCTCGGGAGGAAACAGCGAATCGAGTCGATACAATTGAAATGGGTTAATGAGATTCATTTGAGTGAGTCTTTGCAAGGATGTGCACACGAGGAACGACGCAGGGAAATGATGTAATTGCGAGGTGTGATGTGGTTCAGTTTTGTCGAATTGAGTCGGATCGCAAGAGGTGTCGTTTGGTCGCGTCTGGTTGCTTCGCCTTTCTTGAGGTCAGGGAAGAACAGTTGTGTGCTGCATTGCGAATCGCAGTGCGCAGTGGATTGGTGACGAGGTAAATGGAACATGACGAGGGGCAGGGAGCCAAGGAACCACAAGGGATCGACATGGAAAGATAGCTGAGATGTAGTGCATTTCTGGGCGGGAAGCACGGACTAAGCGCCAACAATGTGGAGCTTGGCGTGAGAAGGGGCGCGACACGTATTTCCAGGAGGGGCGTTTGGCAAAGCGGGGTATGGGTGAGGCAAGACGTTGGGCGAGACGGGGTGTGAGGCCACGTGCTTATGCGAGGAGGTAAGGAGTGTGGCGCGGCGGGATAAGTGCGAGTCGGAAGAAGTTGGCCACGGATCTCGGATGTCTGGCGAGGGGAAACAAGGGCATGGCGGGGAGGGGGACAAGGTAGAGTTGGAGGCGAGGTGGTGGGACGATACTCAGCGTTG